TTGCTGGGCTCCTGCGCCCCATGTAATTTATATATATAAAAGCAAAATGCCACTCGGGCATCATCGCAAAATCTCCAGAACTGTAAAGCCTACAAACTTGAAATTGGGCCCGTATGTTCCTCTTGGCTTCTAGGTGCTCACAAAGAAAGGATTTTTCAAAATGATCTTCAGAGCATTAGTATTTCCTTTGATATTATTATTAACACGCTCTGATGCTAAGGAGTTCCACTCCCCCTCCCCACCTGAAAAGAAATCTCTTGTCACTCTGGAAGGAGAAGTTTGAATAAGTTCAGCCCTTTGTCTTCATATTTATCTGGGGGTAGAAATGCCGGGGAAATCCAGGTGCAGTTTTATTTCCTTAAATGCTCCCGGCAGGCTGAAGTCCAAGCGGTGTTTTCCGACGGGGCGGTCTCGCTGCACACTCGAAGCCTCAAATACGGAAAGGTGAGCTTAATGTTTTCTTAATGTGTTGAGAGAGGTCTTCGTAACGGGGAGCAGGAATGACTTTCGGGAACAGGAAGCAGAGCTGCAATCAAGGCCACCCAAAAAGCAACAAATATTCTTCATATATCAAATATATAATATATATATTTTTCCCCCAGCCAGCTGACCCACCCCCCTCACCCTTTTATATTCCCCATGGCCTTCGTTTCTCTTTCCAGCTTGGCCAGGGGGTCCTAGTCCAGGTCTCTCCATCCCTGGTGAAACGCCAGAAAACTCACTTCCACGACTTACCGTGTGGGGCCTCCGTCATCCTTGGCAACAACGGCTTCATCTGGATTTATCCCACCCCTGAGCAGAAAGAGGACGAGGCTGGGGGCTTTGTGGCTAACCTGGAGGTGAGTTGAAGGCTTGGGAAGAGAAAGGAACGAAGGAGAAAAGGAAAGAAAGAGCAAAGGGTGGACTTTTTCAGCGCTGTCATAACTTTGAACCATTGCTGAATGAAGGTCGTAGGTGGAGGACTATCTGTGTGCACCAAGCATGGAAGTGCTCAGGTTCTGTGTCCATCTTTTCAGCCGGTGTCCCTGGCTGACCGCGAGGTCATCTCCCGCCTCCGAAACTGTATCGTGGCTCTGGTTTCCCAGAAGATGTCTTTGTACGATACCAGCATCCTTTACTGTTACGAAGCATCCCTTCCTCACCAGGTAGAGGCTCTCTCTCTGGTCTCGGGCACCAGGTCTCCGCCCTCAAGGTTACAGGTTGGGTCTCACACCCAAGTCCTTGGGGCAGCCTTCGGAAGCAGGGAGTTTTTCTCAACCTTGGCCAGGGGGAGACGGCTGGACTTCAACTCCCACAGGGGTCTCCCGGCAGGAACGCCAGTTAGCAAGGGGGCTTGCAAGCCAGAGGTGGTGGAAGAGGGAAGCGTGACGTTTATCTGGATGTCTCCTCCTTTCCTTGCAGATCAAAGACCTTCTCAAACCAGAAGTGGTGGAAGAGATTGTGTTGGAGACCCGCCAGAGACTCTTGGAACTGGAAGGATGATGGTAGCAAAGGAGGGGTGAGGAGTGGCAAGGATTCCTTCCTTCCTTCCTTCCTTCCTTCCTTCCTTCCTTCCTTCCTTCCTTCCTTCCTTCCTTTCCAACTATCAATAACTCCTTCCTTCCTTCCACGCACCCATCTCATCCTTCTTCCCATCTTTCCTTCCCTCCCTTTCCTCCATCTTTTCTTCTTTCTTTTCTTATCCCATTCCATCCCACCCCTCTCTTCCACCCCTCTCCTTCCCTCCTTCCTTCTTTTCCCAACCATCAATAACTCCTCCTTTCCTTCCACCCGCATCCATCCATCTCATCCTTCTTCCCACATGTCCTTCTTCCCCTCCGTCCTTTCCTCCTTTTCTTCCATCTTCTTTCTTTCCTTATCCCATTTCATCCTACCCCTCTTTTCCTTCTTCCACCCATCTCCCTTCCTTCCTTCCTTCCTTCCTTCCTTCCTCGTGCGGCCTGGTTGGGGTCCCCCCATTGTAGACCAAAAGGAGCAGTGGTCCCTTTGTCAATTCTTCTTCTTCTTCTTCTTCTTCTTCTTCTTCTTCTTCTTCTTCTT